CAAGACCCTGAAGAAATGTGGATCTCACATAAGAATAAGTCAGCTGTACAATACTTGTAATGATATTGCGAGCACTAGAATAGGGGAGGGAGACTTTTTCCCCAAGCCTCTTTACATGCTTAGAAAACATTTAGACGAATTAAAATTTACTTGCCTTGGAAATGCAAAGGATATCCAAATGACTGTTCCTCTCACAAAACACCTCCTCGACAAAATCCTTCCATGCATCGCGCAAGCAAACGGAATTTACAGTGACGGAACGCAAACGCAGATGTCTGTTTTGCAATGGAAAAGAAATGTTTGCCGAAACCAAACACAAGAACGCAACCCGGCTATCCTGATATATCCTAAAAATGATACCATAGGTCTCATTATAATAAACTTAACGAATCATCCCCTTAAAAAAACATAATCAAAATAAACAAGATTGCTCCGATTAAAAAGGAGGATTGCCATCTGTTGTTATTCGGAAGAGGAGCTAAAGAGGGTCGTCAGATGCACTGAACGATACGCGGATGCTAAATCCCTCTTATATTAAGACTCCAATCCAAGATCGCCCAAAGCTATTAACAATATTCCTAAAGATACTCCTCCAGAACTCTAATAGAAGAACTTGTTGATCAATCAACATTGAAAAAGGGATCTCCGCTTTCTTCAAGGTAAAAGAAAGACTTCCTAACTGTAAATGGATTTTTGAAGGTAATTCTTCAACCTTCAAGAATGCGGAACACAGGATATTACTTATAATGGAATTTTTCCTATTGCAAAGTGCTTTGGCGTCAAACGATGCTTCCACTGTCAAGACTTTACGCATTCTCAGTACAAGTTGCAAATTTAAATCGTATTGTGCATTCTGTGGAGCAATCTCAATAAAATGCGGAGCCGAAATACTAACTGCATAACTGCAGATTGAACAACAACGCAATCGCACAAACATTAATTACAAGCATGCGCATATGCACCTCAGTGTCCTCTGTAAAAGAAAAACTGAAAAAATTAAGCGATCACAAATTATCAAATAGTCTAATTATACTTCATTTCGATTCATCAACGCAATTTAGCCTTTGTTTACCTAGTACTCTTCTCTTTTTCTCATTTATCATATTGTAAAGTATTTTATGGATGCCTCATTTTCCACAAAAATCCTTCAATGCTAATCAAAAACTTCACAGATCTCAGAACCTTAACTGCCTTCAGTGTAATCTTAGGAGATGCAAAGGAAGCTACATCTTCACTGTGCAGTTCTCTCAGAATCCGAGGCGAATCTTACTAATCCGAGCCATGCAGCATGAAAGGAGAAGAGAGTTTCCATTATCATGGAATATTTTAATAAAAACTTAAGCAAAAGCCCAGTCCAAAAAAAAACCCAGGAGCATTGTCTTAACGACAAACAAACTACTAGACCCTATGTATGCAAATTCATAGAGACGATTTGATCTATCTCAATAATCAGGTACAGTACACTATGCATTTTTCTTGCTACTGTTCGCCCGCAGAAGAAAGGAAAGAAATCTTATACCCTTGACATATAATTCAGAGTGATCCGACTGCACATCACTTTATCGGTGGGATATGAATGCCCATTGCGTGCAATGGGGATCCAAAATCAGATTCTTGAGGCAACAAGAAGATTTCATAGCGGCCAAACTCTCTCGCCTTCACAACGACACCGTACAAGGGCTCCTTCGAAACATGCTAGGTAAGAATGGCTTGACCTGACCCCAAGCACAAATCCAGCACCTTTCTAAAAAAACTGACGATATGACGAGGAAAGGAGAAAATTCGGAATCATAAAGTTCAGCACGAAATGAAAATTCAAAGGAGTACCACCGTGCTAAAAAAAACTTCCATTTGAAACTCATAAACACGCAGGAAGCCCAATGAAACGTCTCCAGAACTTTTTCAAGGTCTATGTGGACAAAAAGGTATAGCCCAAAATTAAGAGCTCCACTAAATTCACTGCAATTGGTGGACAAAGTGAGGGCCAGAGATAAAACTTAAGGAGGAAAAAAAAGGACGACAATTCTAGAATGCTGGCATGCGTAAGATATACGAGCAAAGAAGGATTTACAAAAAAAATTAGGAAGCTAAATTAACTCGTGGAAAAAAATTTGTTCTCAAAATAAAGATCGTATGGCTCCTCCATAAATTGGCAACTAGGAAATTCTTCGCTCCCACAAAAATTACGCTTCCCAACAAAGATCACGCAAGCAACAACAAGAGTATTCCTGATTCCCAGATTCTATTGCAAGAAGCAGCAACCAAAATCCTTGACGCTATCTCCATGGATGACAATTCAGAAGATGACACACCCGAGAAGAGAGAGATTAGACTTCCAATTTCTCACAAAGGCTCAAAAGACTCCCCTTCACTTACAAGAAATTAATAATATTATCAAGCACCTCAACATAAAAGCCCCGGGCCCCGACTCTATAACAACAAATTCTAAAAATTATGCACAATCATGACCCAAGATCCTTTTTAATTTCTTCAATAAATGCTTAAATTGTCGACCTTTCCCGATAACATGAAGAAGGATAATTATACTTTTCGAGAAGAAAGGAAGGAACCCCGAAGATCCTTCTGCATTTCGGCAATAATTTGCTGCCCGCCATAGGAAAAGTTCTAGAAAGACTTATTGCCGGGCAGTTGAGATATCATTTTATCAAAAATCAAACAATCAGTAAACACCATACGGATTCAAAGCCAACTCAAGCACTATTCATGCAATTGACAAAATACTGAAGCAAATCCAACATAATAAATCAAAATGTGAATAGTGCACTTATTTTGTGTGATTTAAAAAGTGCCTTCACTCAATATGGTGGCCTTCAGTATTACATGCACTTAATAAAGCCAACTTCTAATCTTCTCATATCCTCATTCATTACTTTCATATAGAGAAAGCATATTCATTCATACACATGATAACCAGCAAAAATTTACTAGAGGATGTCCCCAAGGATCCTGCTTAAGTGCGATTTCTGGGCCCTCACCTTAATGCGTCTAAATTGAATTTCCCGATCATACGAAGATCTTCGCGTTTGCGGATGACACTGCGTTGGTGTAGTGGTAGGACTAGAGACATCCTCGAAAGGAATGGACGGTTCTCTCAAACAGTTTAACATAGAATGCCAGAGGTTGAACTCTGCATTTCGCAAGAGAAGTCCAAGGCAATACTTTTTAACAAGCCAGGCCAAAAGTCTAGAAGCCCATCTCAACCTGGACGGAAGCAAAATTAAGATTACTCAAGCCTGAGTTTCTGGGGTATCCCATAGATAACCAACTTAATTTTATGTACATCTCCGGAGACTCAGAAAAGACAATAATCGCTTATAATTTCAAAAAAATGCAAGGTAGTAAATGGGACTTCGTCCTCAATCAAAAATTTTATTTTTAACAGTAATTTCAAGTATAGTGAATTATGGGGCTGCAATCTGGCGGAGACTATGACAGAAAGGAAGAAAAGGAAACTTTTCGCCATTCAGAGACTTTTCTCCTGAGCATTTGCAAAGCCTACAGACGACACTAATTCCTCTCTATGCATTCTTACTGGATTCTTTCCTTCATTTAATTGCGACGAAGGATCAATAAAGCCAGAGTACTCCAGTTGAAAGAAATGCTTACCTGAACGGCACACCCTTTGCTCAAAGTATGAGTCTCCAGCCATACCATTGACCTACCATCCTGCAAAGCATTGTAATTTAATTTCATACGGACGCTTCAGCAATATATAAAAATGTCCAAGAGCATTTACAGACGCTCTAAAAATTCACGGAGAAGTGGGCGCAGCATCAATATCTATTCTTTCTTCCTCTATTCCAACAATATGGCAAGGAAAATTATCTCCAGAAAATTCCGTTTATCAGCTGAGCGTCAGCAATTCATTCTGCAGTAAATAAAGCTACATCAAAATTTCAGGACAATAGCTATCTATTCAGACGTCATCTGATTATATGCCCTGAAGGACAGAAACAATAAGAACCAACTGGTTCAAGATATTCAAAATTATAGTGCCCACCCAGAATCCATTATCCTCAATTGGGTAAAGCCACAACGGAACGACGGCACGAGGCAGCTGACCTCCTGCAAGGATGCAACAACTAACATCAACAGTGAGGTAATTCACGTCCCGTGGCCCAATTCCCATTTAAAATTTTACACTGAATGCTATTGTCGACTCAAAGTGGCAAGAAGAGTGGGATTCTGCATTGCAAGACAGAAGAGTCCACAATTTTCTCAAAAACTGACAAGAGGCCCTACACTAGACCATGTTCTGAATCAGTATATCACAGGGCACGGTCCTTCCCCACCTACTTCATGACAGAGCAATGTGCCCCACGGATCTCTGCATAGTGGCCAAAGGTGACCCTGATCATTACATTTTTTACGTAATCTAACAGACGGCAAACATAAAACAAAAACTAACAATAGCGAAGCATTTTATAAATTTTACATATTTTTAGGGAAAATACATGCACGGAACAGCTTAAAAACACGTACGTGTCACTGCCGTAATGCAGTGTTTTGAAGTTACTAACATGGACGCGGCTTGTTCGGTGGAGTTTCATTCCCCGATAGTGGAGGAAACGGTCCCCGCTTTTTCAGATGGCCCAGACTTTCCTTTCCCCATCGATAACGAATAGCTGATATGCTTTGCACTTTGTAATCGAAGTCTCGATACGGCTGTGTCTACACGTACGACGTCGGATGGCTAGCTCAAATATGGTAAAAATGCTAAACGTACGACTGGTTGCGCAGAGACCATCTGCGCATGAACATGCCTTCAATGTGTAATGCGAATCTAGCGCCATTTTGTTCTCGAACGTGGTCGAATGGTGTGGTGGTGAGTATACGAGTGATATCTATTGTTCCAAATTTAAATAAAATTAAAATTCTAATGTTTTTCAACTTAAATAAATAGTCTTTTTAATTAATTTAATGATTAATTTTAATCAATGTTTTTTTTTTTTCTTGCACAGATTGCAATTATTCGCCGTAATTCGTTTTCTGCTGAATTTCTGAATGTATAGGTAAGAATTATTTTTGAATTTGTGAATGTTTAATTAACTGAATACAAAATTAATTGTATATGATTTATCGGTTTGTGTGTGCGTTTGAAAGGGAGAAAAAAATTCGTGTTGTTTATGTACTAATTCACCCATTTTTCTTATGAAATACTGCGAAATGTGATATATCTTTGTATTTGTGTGCTCTCTTGAAGAAATATACGCCTTTTTTTTTTTTTTTTGTATGATTTTTGTTGTATCAGATGAACAGTAATGTTAATTATCTGGCTGAGCAAATAAATAAAATATTCTGTAAACTATCCTGCTCAGCGTGCACCATTTATTATTAGATATCACCTTTAAAAATGCTTCTAATTGAGCATGTTTACCCAGAAACATCAACATTGTGTCCTCAGCCGAGCCAGAGTGTAATATTAAAATCAGAAACCTAACGTTATATGTTTTATTGTAAACAATCCTAGTATTATTTTTCTGTTATTTGCAGCGAAATTAAGTAACGAATATACAAAATTGCAGCAGGAAACAGTGGCTTTCGCTGCGATGTGCTTGTTTTGTCAGTATTAATCCAAATTAATGAATTTTGTATGATTGCTGCAATTATTTATTGCTTCATACGTAGACTGCTAATTTTGCAATGACTGAAGATAGAGAAATGTTAGACGAGATCATTGAATTCCCTCCTAAAAAAGTTATAAAACAGGATTCCATATGCAGCTGTGATTATTCTCATTTTAAATAAGATAGTGTGGCTAGAGATATTGCCATCTGTTGACACATGCGTCAAATATAGTTGCATTTTTGTAATTGCATGTGTGTGGTGGCAGGTAGTTAATGTAATTCACAATGTTTGTAGTGTGTAGTAATGTGACATGCCTAACATCATTTCTCCCAACTGCAGAGTCGTAGGCGAGAAGTTGAGTATGCAGCTGAAATCATAGAATGAATGTCAGTTTGTGTTTTTTCACTGTGTTTCAACAGTTCTTGTGTTAAGTTGGCATTAAGGTAAAAAAATTACAAGAAGAAAGGTTCAATGTAACCTTTGTATGTATTTATGGGATTTTGTCTTTGTAAGTAAGACAATGATTACCACATAAAAACTATAGGAAAGCTCGTTCTAATAATGTATTGAAAAAAGTGGAAAATGAGGGAAATATTTTTAATAAATTTCAGCACTGTAAAGTGGGGGGAATATAGTAATCCATCATTGGCAGGTCTTCGATAAAGCAACATGCATCGTAATAAGAATCACATCATCTTATGACTAAAGGTAAGAATCATCCACAGTGCCAAAAAAAAAAAATCCCTATTCTGTTTTGACATTCAAAGTTAAAATATGCATCAGATGATTGTATAGTTCATTAATGCCATATATTTTGTTAATTTCACAAAACTGGATCAAATTATTTCGTAACAGTAGTATATAAATTTCATAAAGTTGCCAGCTGGAATGTCCTCTGGAGCAGGATTTTTAATTTTCTTTTCTGTTTCAAGGGCAAACTTGCTAGCAAATTCCAATCTGTGTAATTATGTCATATATTAACCCATTAAATGCTGTGGTGCTCATTTGGTTATCATAACATTAAGAATGCCAGCCTTATTAAACACCATCTAGCATATTACTCGGAGGGGAAAAGGCAACATACATCAACTCATCCACTGAATGTCGTTTGTAGAAAACCTAAAGAAATCAGCACCTTATACGCTTGTTTTTGCTGAAAGCTCCATGTTCATTTTCACATTCCACTCTCCTCTTATCACAAAAGCGAAACATGTGTTTTGAAAACGGATTAGACTTAGTGGATCGAGGCTAATTTTGGTCATTGTGATTTTTCTATATTATTGGTGAGTGTTGATTAAAGCGGTTATCACTTCTAGCAACAGTCCCTGCTAGACAGGACTTTCCTGAGAAACAAGATTTTTGGTAGCACTGGTTTAAATGGGAGGATTCTTAGAAAAAAAAGAATCCCACCTAGCTACAGAAACATGGATAAAGTCAAGAGTGTGCGCAATGCCATTTTTGTGCATATGTTTTTTTAAGTGGATTTCAATTCAAAATAAGGGCGGCGTCCGGAAACAATGTAGCGGCTATGTGATATTTCTTCAAACCTCGCCAAAAATGTCTCAGCTGAAACTCTGTCCCGGGTAGAAATGAACCAATCAGATGAAAGTTCTGCTTCTGAAGGATCACGTGGTCCCAATCTGAGCGATAATCGATTATTGTTTGGCGTTGTCTTTGTAGTAAGTGAAAATGGTAACCTAGCTACATGGGTTTCCTGGAAATGTGCGGGTTCTGAGAATTGCCCCTTTCGTCATCCAGTTCGGCATAGCCGAAAGATAATGTAATTTTAAAAATTAGATAATGCTTTTTTTTTTTTTTTTTTTTGGTCAGTGTAATTTGTATAGATGATGGACACAAATTCATAAAGCCGCATTTGGAGATTACAGTTGATACTGAGTAGAATTTCAACAAGCATTTTATGATTGCATTGTACAAGAAAAGGCTTGAGAAAAGCTTTGAAAGAATTTAAAGATAATATGGGATTCCCAGAACCTCTGTAATTCTGCCTTTGAAGATGATGGCAATGATTTTATAAACGTGGAGCTTCCTCCACAGCAGGTTGATGGAGTTTTCTGATGATGGACTAGAGGCAGAATGAGGCATTGCTAGGAGTGACAAGTGTTATTTAAGATTCTGTGCTTAGCAATGAATCATTACGGGCATTTCAATAGAGATTAAAAATTGTCTTCAGTTAGTCATTTATCTTCAGTAACATACGAGAGGATGCTGAACAGGCACTGGAAGCTGTAGACACACTAATGTTTGTGAAAAATGCAACACCATGAAGGAATTGTCGGAAATGAATGAAATTTATTCCGCATATTACCGATAGTGATACAAGTAAACGATCACATTTACAAACAAAAAAAAAAAAAACGAAAGTTGGAAAATCAGTACTTTGGGTTTCTGTCATGCTGAGCGAGAGCCTGTACACATCGTGGCATTGAATCGTATAGGTTCTGAATGTAATCCTGGGGAATAGCTTTGAATTGATGTGAAAGTTCAGTTTCAGTGTGTGGCCCACTAGCTGTACGTGCGAGTCGCTGACCGATGAAATCCTAGGCATGCTGATTGAGCAACATATCTGGGGAAGATGCAAAACCTGTTGTACCTTAAAGAAGGCTTGTGCACAGGCATTTTTTTTTCCCCTAAAATATAGTGCCTGGAATGCATCAAATAATGCATACTCTGTCATTATTATACTCCAGATTATAGCAAGATTTGTTGGAGAAAGCAACTTGTTGCCACAGAGCACGCCACGCACTGAGTTGCAGTGCTCACTGAAGTCGGAGGCATATGTTACTCAGCGACAGGGCAATCCTGCGTAGAGGAACCCTTGCATGCAGTTCATGTTGCAGCAGACAGCGACGAACACTTGTAACCGTGCTCCAATATTGTACTAACATACGAGAGGATGCTCTACAATCCATCACAGCCATGCAGATGAGGTGTTTGTCGTCCTGTGCTGTTGTGTGCCCCATTGCCAGGATTTCACCTTGTTTGGTTCTCGCTGTCCATTTCTTCCAAACATGCATCACTGTTGTGGCATTGTGCTGCGTGCGGGCTGTGATTGTTTGATATGAAAGTCCACCCTCTTGCATACAGACGATGTGGCCTCGTTCAAACTTGTTGGTATGGCATCCTCCGCTGTTGACGAGGCATACTGAGCACAAATTAAATGTTCACTGCAGACGGAGGATGATAAACAGATTTCAGCACAACTTTACAGTCCTTTACAACTGCCAGTTCTCATTTCATGCATGCATAATCCCTTTGTAATTCTAATCATTTGTATGTCTTAACTCACTTTACATTTCATGTAAGTTTGGTTCAAAGTGCATAATTCCTTCATGGTTGTGATTTTCACAAACATTAGTGTATATTAGGTAGTCCTAACTAAAAAAGCATCTTGAAATAAAAGTATGCAGTTGTCCAGATCAAATGTTTATTTTACAGAAAAATATAAACAGCTTATGCATACATGCATTGTTTTTATAGGATTCTGATCATACCTGAATAATTTTTCACTAAGTTGTATTTTACAATAATTCTTTCAAATAAGTAACAGTTACTTATCCATTATTTTAATTAAAAGAATTTTGTATATATTTTTGTTCTTATCAACTAATGAAAGGGATGTATATGTATTAATTTTATAAAATTCATGTGAATGTATGCAAATAAATTGTTTATAAATGTCACATAAGTTTATACCTCCTTAAACCATTTTCATGTGAAACAGAAGCCTTATTCATAACAATATAATCAAACATACCAAGGTATAATTTTATTAAGACCCTGAGTTACATCAGTATGAACTTATGATGGAACTATTGGAACAATACTCATCATGAGTTGAGGATTACTTATAATTTGTCAGTAGGCATGTATGAAAATGGGTTTTGTAATTAATATTGAATGTATAACTTTTTCTTTTCATATAAATACAGAAGGATTTCATGTCTGCAGATAATGTATTACAAGAGGCTGTTGTGTGCCAGTGGACAAGCTGGTGAGAAGCTGAACACTAATAGCTTGAATCCTGGTGAATGGACTGCCTGCATAAGCGTCGTCATGATTTTTCCACGTGTAATATGAATGCAAGCCAGTTTGCCTTAAAGCATCCCTTCTTGGAAAATATCTTCTAGTGTTTCATCACAAAAATCAGTCAAAAACTGTTTCTCATGATTTGAAAAATACGTATAAAGGAAGTCAAATTTAATTGATAAATTGTGCATGCTGAGATTGTATACTATATCATATACATTTTTAATATATTTTCTGTATCTCTAATGTTGAGAATTTTGATGTTTTAATTTAACCCTGAATAAAATGTTAAGTACTATAAGCAAAGTAAGCAGTATTGTATTTGATGTCAGAACAATATTTTTTTTTTTTTTATTTTATACTTGTATATTTTTGCTTATGATTGGAATTTTAGTACAAATTATTTTGGCATGATGTGGCCTGTTCTCATTTAAAATGCATTTTGTATTTTTTTCTTCTGTTATTTGCATTATAATAGTTTGGCCATAACAACTATGGATGCCAAATCAACATGTATGGGAATAACTGTATTAAATTTTGAGAAAACCTTTTAGGTGTCATTTATTATAAAGGTTGAGATGATTGTTTTTATAAATTCATTCATTCTTATCTATTTAAGAATTATCATTTAACATAAAAATATGAAAAAGAATAATATATTATAATACTAAATAAAATATACTTTTATATATATATATATCCAAGCTCACTATATGCACACTCAAAGAGATACATTTCTTTTTTGTGATGTATGTGATGATAATTTACTGTTAAGTATCTTAAGTTGTTCATAAATAGTGCTCATTTTTCATAATGCACCAAACAAACCTCACATAATTAATTTAATAAAATATTATTGCAGAGACATATTTTTGAAATTGACATTAGTCCTCTATCCGTCCGTCCCATAGGGATAACTATGGGCCAGCTTCTGGGCAGATTCCTACTGTCATCTACAATATGCCCAAGCCCTTCGCCAATGACAGTTGCTTCTCAATACCTTCATGAATCTGATCTGGCTGAGTTTCATATCAGGGGAATTAATAAAAGCAAAATGCATTCATTACCTAAAACCATTTTTCTCCAACTATCTGGATGGTAATGTGAAAGGATATGATTGGATTTCTTCTAGGTCATAACAGTTTTTAATAATGAAAAGCTCTTGTTCTTTTTTCTTCAAATTCTTGTTTTTTTTTTTTTTTTTTTTTATTTCAATGCACACTTTTTTAAAAGCAAACTGAATTAGCTGGATGATCACTACGAAGTTTCTTGACATATTTGAAAGTAAAATATTGCATCTACATTCATTTTGAATAAATTGTTATTACTATAGTCTGCAATCATTGAGTTCATTTTAAGATTATTTGTCCTTTTTTTGTTTGTGGAATAGGAGGCTGTATTTTTTAGATTTTCTGTTTATTTAGCCAGTTTTCTATATAATGGCTAACATAAAATATAATTTATGTTAGCCATTATATAGAAATTTATGTGCCCTGTTTTAAAAATTATGTATATCTTAATTTAAGTTTGTCTCATGTCAGATGAACAATGCTGCTAGTCTGGTTGAGAAATTAAGAAAGTCTGACCATTCCATGAAAAATCTTTTAGAACAGCTCACTGATTAAAATACATATACACACCAATTAACTGTGCTCATCAAAAGTGCTGTATTATTTAATGCTTCTTCTGATGAGCAAAATTCAAAGCATTATTTCTCTTGTTTTCTGTGTATGAAGTTTGTAGCAAAATGGAATTATTATTTTTTTTTAATTTCATTCACTGATATCACTATTTTTATATGTCTGATAATGATCTACTGCATAAGTAATATCTATATGCAAACATAAACCAAAATCTTGCTTTAGAAGAATACCCACCGGTGTCGGTTCTCGAATAGATAAGACACAGAATACTGGTGATACAATTTAGGTTTGAATTCTATCAAATGGGTTAGCTACATCTCTGTTTTTACAGTTTTCCCTATGTTTAATACGAATACAAGTCAGTTTCATTCAAAAAGTGCTCAAAGAAGGGCATCTCTTCTTTTAAGCAGATAGCCCTCAGGACCTTTGCCATAAAAATTCAACAGCTGAGCATGTACTAAAAGATAACATAGTATACAAATGTCCATTTTATAACTTTCAAATGAAGTGGTCGATTTAAATTTCACATCTGGTGCTATAGCAATATATGTGACTTGGGTAAACAGCCAGTTGATATGGTCTAAGGAACAGGGTTTTTAATTTTATTTCTTTTTCGTATAGCAAACTAGCTTGCCTATGCATATATGCAAGTCTAATTTATTTTTTACAAAAGATTCATATTAAAATACATACACATATGACAAAGAAATGTATGCACATAAACTATAACTAATAAATCAATTGAGCAATATGTGAACATAGATGCTAATGGTTCAAGTGTCGTGTAGCAGGGTATGACTGCAAACCCTATAGTGGTGCTGCAAACAAAAATTAGTGTCTGATTCAAAGCAGGCATAAAAACTAGTATACAGTTTGTCCCCATATGACACAAAACAAAAAGTATGTAATCAGAAAAAATATCATGTAGACATTGATTTACCCAACTTATAAGCTTCGGTAAAGGCCTTATCATTCGCCTTAAATCTGTAGAATGATCAGCACCCTTCTGCTTTGGAAACAGCTCCAGAAAGACATGTTAACCTAATCCACACTACAGTAGAACATGTGCCTCTGAACCATTACCATCGAAACTGCAATTTCAGAGTCACTATGTACACTAATCTCGATATTAAAGCACTGGTAGCTCTATTTGCGATTGTGCTACTGTAGATGAGTGTAGAGCACCATAGAATGGTGATGTATAATATTAGGTTTATTTAGGAGCAAAAAAAAAATATTAGAAATGACCTATCCTGGATTCGAAATCTGGGCTTAAAGACTGCCATCCAGAAGTGCTTCTAATTACATCATGAAAGCATGCGTTGAGAAAAAAGAAAATTCCGTACATTCTTCCCCATTTAAAAGGCAGTTGGGGAGGTGGTAACCTAATCGCCACCTGCTGGTGGTGAAGAATTATCGTCTACCACATTTTAGTTTGGGAACCACTTGGTTAGTTGGTTGAGCCTTTAGGTATTTATTTGAAATAGAAAATATCAGCGAATGACCGCCCCAGGATTTGCATTCTGGACTTCCCTATTGCCAGCCGAACGTGCTTCTAATTAGAACACGAAGCCAAGCGGTAAGGAAAGAGAAAATTAGTGACTTAGTATCTTATTTTATTTTGGCTGCACACAGTTCCTATATGTAGCTAAGCGAATTTCCCGGTCAGTAGCATAAATCCCAACCTTCCTAGTGGACAGCGTGCTTCCGCTCCTGTAAAATATTGCGATTTAAGAAGTCATCCACGATAGCTGATCAGTTCTGCAATTATATAAATAATAAAAATTAAGAGAATGAAATGGAGAAATTAATGTAACGTTAGTACAAACAAGAAGATGCAACAAAAAGATCAATTAGGAGATCACTTAGGGTCCGGTATTGTACAGCATGCACATATACGTAGCATGACATCTATGGGGTGTAGGAGAGGGTATAAAGCATGGTGTATGCTCAAAACATGAACGGAAGCTACTGCACGGTACATTTGGTTTTAACAACATCGATTTGTAGTCTCAGCGTGACAGTTCTATAGACAATATCTGGACGACTTTGTCTGGAAGTTTGAAAGAAGGCCAAAGTGCGACTATACACATCATGTCAGTAGTTTGGATTACATTTCGAACAAAGGGAGCAGCTATCTGAAGGTTTAGTAATGCTCATTGCCAAATTAGACTTTTATATGCCCGTAGCACTTCAAAGATTTTGCTGCCTCCACATACCCATCTATAGTATAACGCCTCTTTCTCATCATTCCCTCTTTCTCGGGCTTGGATTAACTGCACTATGTATTCCCTTCTAAAATCTGCAGTGAGAATTTTATTTTTGGTGCCTTTGCACTCTGCACTTTCTTTGAATCTTTAAGCACCTTTTTGTAACGCCGCCTTTACCTGATGCCCTAAGCACGTGCTTACTTTCCTTAATGGCTAATCCAACTCTGGTAGTGGTTTTCCACAAACAACCACGCCAGGATATGAAGAACTGATATCTTCTCTTACAGATGATGAGTTGGGTTCAGTTTATTTAGTTATGGCGAAACATTCGAGGGCTACCTGTCTAAGGGAAGGGATGGCTTCGTGAAAGACTTTCTAAGGGAAATTGGACTGTATATAGGTTACACATATGGAAACCATGAAAACGCTTAGTTAGCAGCCAATCTGCTCGCCGGGATTCGAGCCCCGGCCCGAGTTTATCGGCTTTACCGCTCGGCCACTGGAGAGCCGTCTTTAGATGATGCGATATCTATGCTAATGACTCCCATCATCTGGTGGTGGTGACAGTGGGTGACATCCTAAGATGCATGCAATCTATTACTGGACATCCAATATGGCTAAAGACTTGGCTATAGTTTTCAGCGCCTAAAGACAACTGCAGATTTCGTACACCCTTCTGTTTTCTAAGTATGGAAACTGTTTCATTCTAAAACTTCGTCAGTTTGGCATTTCCGTGACACTACGCCCAGGGACAGTTGTCCACCCTCGCCCGTCTCTAGCTATAACACTGATATCACTACGAAACAATCTGATGGTGTTTTGATCGCTTTGCGGACTTTCATGCCTTCTCGTCGGAGGCAGTGTCTTCTGTAGTGTTGCAAACAAAAGATCTCCAGTGGAGTGGCGTAACGCCCCCTACGGCGCCCTTCAAAAAAAGCCACTGAGTAGCTCAGCAATGGAGTTGAGTTTTAAGGATAGCAGCAGTCGCTGGCAAGACTAAACAGGGAAAGGGGGTGTCATCCAGTTTTCTAGGACAATAGAGCAGCCGCTGCAATATTATATCAGGGGTTATCATCCAGGTTCAAGAATAAGATAACAGCTTTAATCTTACAATTTGCTTTAATCTTTCGATATTTAGATTATCTAGCCATTCTGGATGTCTAAATATCTAGATAAAGCAGAGATTACGCAGTCGTCCCTCTAAGATCATCGAAAGGAAACAGTTTGCAAGTGCTCAAATTTTCGTTTGTGGAAGTGAAATGCTTGGTCGCTATATGAAGCTCCATACATCTGAAGAAGATTAATTCACTACTGATTTGAATGTTTTCTTGTGCAATGTGCAATGCCAGCTAGTTTTCTGTCGAAAAGTCCTATCATGAAGCCATGCAAGAATCATTTGAACTCTTCTTAGACAAATAGCCCTCAAGTGCTTTTCTAATAATCAAACTAAACCAAATCGAACCTTTAAAAATGTGCTCCACAAAAGACATCCCTGTTATCTTAGGCAGAAAGCCCTTGCGTGCTTTGCAGTGAATCCAAAATAATGTGACTTTAAGCTCTAAATCTGGCCTGCTTAGTAGTGCTCAGTTGCTTCGATGTCCTCAATGTGAAACACATTATCTAGCAAGTGTGGAATGTTTGCCATAGGATTATACGAGTGCCTGTTCAATTTTATGCCTCAATGCATTGTGGTCAG